AATATTGAGAAAACATCCCAGCCCAGTCCAGATCAAGTCCATAAGTCCAATATTAGCCCATATATCTGATACAAATCTATAAAGTCATCTTCAAACTCACAAAACACATGCAATGATGCCGAATGCAGGAAGATCACAGACCAGTGTGTGGTAAGTCTTGTGGATCCAGTGGTGGTAGAGGCAGTGCTGGCAGGGGTCTCCACGTGACTGCTCCAGGGCTCTAGCATATTTCCATGTGTCTTGTCCATAGGAATGTCTCACAGGGAGTGTCTCTGTATTCCGCCTCCAGTGAGCTATTTATCTCCCTAGCGCCTCCAAAGGAGGTCATTAAGCTGTGACCTGATTGACAGGCTGAACTCCACCTCTTCACTCTTAAGTCTCAAATGGACAACAGATGATGTAACTACCACATGCAGCTAGAGATTTCTGGCCATATCCAGTTATGTGGTCTCTGTGTTGCCAGAGACAACCTGGGCACCGCGTCATTATTATTTCAGATAGTAATTTGTTTTCTTTGTAATGGGCCAGTGAATTAATTCAAGGCCTTCTAAAGAGAAGACTGTAACAAGTTTTGATCACATAACTTTGGAATCAGTGCTAAGAAAATTGGACCCCCCCCTCCCTCCTTGCCTCTGTCCCTTTTTTCCCTATCATCTATCTATATCTATCTATCTATCTATCTATCTATCTATCTATCTATCTATCTATCTATCTATCATCTATCTATCTATCTATCTATCATCTATCTACTATCTATCTATCTATCTATCTATCTATCTATCTATCTATCTATCTATCTATCATCTATCATCTATCTACTATCTATCTATCTATCTATCTATCATCTATCTGCCCAAGTTAAAAATTATTCTTAGAAAATCACAACTCCTTTATTAAACACACGTATAAAGCTGTGGGGGTGGTTATCACTTAGATGCTCCATGACAAAAACATCTTCCCTGGCTTCTTGAATGTTGATGGGGATCTTATCCCTCTCAGGGATTATTTCTATGTTTGCCTTTATACTAATACGATCTTGTCCTCACAGCCTGAGTGTGGTTTGTTTTTCATCATTTTCTGCGGGGTTTCCCAGCTATGAAGCATGGGTGAACAATGATAAGAACTGAACACAGTGTCACAGGGAATGTCAGGGAAGGGGCTGGGCCCTCGGGAGGGGCAGGGGAGTTTGGGAGTAAATGTTGAAAGCGGGAGGGGGCAGGGAGCAGTGGAGCTGATCATGATTGAACAGCTCAGTTTGGGGGTGAACCCACTATTGGGGAGGGAATGCTCTAGGGTGGCTGTGGTTGTGATTGTACAATCCCCCCTTGATATGTTTGAATGATTGAACTATTCAATTTTATGACAAGTAAATTATGTGTCAATAAAAGTGTTGGGAGAAAAAACTCTATGGAGAACATGTCTACTCTGAAGCAATTAATCATCATAAATAAAAGTTGGCTAGAAAACAACAACCAACAACAAAAAGAACGATGGTCAGTATATATCGGAATCTTGCAAAAAACGAAAAACGGTGAAGCTACTATTCCTTGACTTATCCTCCATCCTGAATGATGCACTTCCATCTCTCCAGCTCTTTGCTTAAGGACTCACCCCTTTTTATTTAAGCAATATCAAAAGGATAGCCTTGCCTTCCTAAAAGGACTTCAGTCGTGCTCTTCTGACTTTTGGGAACAAAAATAAATCTGAAAGGGCAGCACAAGGATGGAGTCCGATTTCCTGAGGAAATTCCTGCAGGACAGCCCTTGCTTCCCTCCAAGAATGAACAAGTGCATCATCCCGATGGAGTGAGACATGTTTTTCTTCACACCTTTCCTGGTGGGGAAGGTAATGGACCAAAAGTTGTCTGCCCAAGAGAACCTACAGTCAAGCGTGCGATGGCATTTCCAGGGGATATGTTCATTCCTACCACCAAGAAGTGAGCTCACCCACTGCGGGCACGCTCTTCTTTGCAGAGACCTGGCCATTTCCCACCCAGGTCAGTCCTCTGCTTCACCACGCCAAGTGATGGTGGAGCCGATGGCAGGGAGGCAGGTGGGCTTCCTGGCAGGTCACATGACCCAAGGTCATCAGAGAGGCTCTGCTTCCTCCTGTGCTGTGGCCCTGGCCGCCACTGTTTAAAACGTCTTCATCCTCAGGGATGTCTTTGGGAAGTGGGAAGAATGGGAGGTCCCATACTCTGATGTTTGTACTTTTGACTCCCCGCAAAGCCCAAACCAAACTCGCTGCCATTGAGTCAATGCTGACTCCTAGCGACCTCTGAGGATGGGGTAGAACTGCCTCTGTGAGTTCCTGAGGCTGAGAAAGCCCTGTCCTCCCATGGAGCAGCGGATGGCTTTGAACTGCTGACCTTGTGGATTGCAGCCCAACGCGTAACCAAGACGCCACCAGCACTCCTTTGGCTTCTACCCACTCCCAGTTAGTCCTCCATCCCTGTTTCTTTGATTGTCCACCTGACCCTTACCAGGGATTTTGGTTCCATGGCAGAATGCTCACCTGCCGGTGCACCTCCAGCACGGCTGCTACCTGTCTACCAGGTGTCTCGGCTGGGTGCATTGGTGTGAAGCTCAAGAGCTTTGAGGAGTGAGCAGACTCTGCCATAATTGGGGATCTCCTTCTGAGAGTCAGGCACTGGGATCCATCTGGATCCTAACTCCAGAAGGGGGTGCGGGACCAGGCAGCACTGCCTCGTGTTGTCCACGAGGTTGACTCAAAGGCAGAGAGCAATGGCGCCGGATCGTTTTTGCTTCTCTCCTCTTCCCTTGGTGCCCTGGGCGTCCTGCCTTGGGGGTACCCACAGTTCTCACTCCGTTCCTCCTCGTCCTCTTGCCCATCCCAGCCCCTCTCTGCCCTGCAGACGGAGGGGCATCATCTGCTGCTTTGCTCTCCAGAGGAAAACCCGTCAGCGGTGTCAATAAATAATAGCTTTACAGAGGCTGCAAACCCTCCCAGAGCTGCATTGAGTCCGGCCTGCCGGCACCTCTCCCTGCTGGGCACATGGACCTCAGTGACCTAATTTTACTGCAGAGTTGCCCGCTCCGAGTCTGCTGCCCCTCCCCACATCCTTCCACGCGTCTACCTCCCAGGCATGCTTGCATGTCAATTTAGCCATACGTGTCTGGCAAAGCCACTCCTGAAGTCTTCCCCCACGCCGCCGCGAGTGTTCATCCTTTTCCTCCACCTTTGTCTTCAGCCCCCTTTCTACCCCTTCCCCACCATTTCTGGTTTGTCTGTACCGCTAGACCACACCTTCTGGAACGGGGTCTTTGTCCTGCCCCTCTGCTGATTCTGCGCAGCTCGAACCGTGCCTGCACACATGGAGTCGTCAATAAAGATATGCCGACATGTGAATGAGGTCAAGGAGGAAGGCGTCCATTGGCAGACGAATTCGTCTTGGTCTGCTGTTTGCAGACGGATGTACATGATAGCACACGGTGCAAGCCACACAAACGGAAAGAACTCAGAGCCATCAAGTCGATTCCAGCTCACAGTGACCACGCAGAGGGCAGAGTGGAACTCCCCCTAACTGTATGGGACTAGAAAGCCTCCTCCTTCTCCTGGGGAGCGGCTGGTGGTTTTGAACTCCTGACCTTGGGGTTTGTGATGCAGTGCATAACCCGGCACGTGTTGTATCTGGCATATTATACAGTAAAGCCCACACCATGCAGACCCTGGGTGAGACAGAAGCCTGCCAGAAAAGGGAAATCATGTGTTTTCCATGAATAGACTGTGGTAGATTGGCATGTGGCAAGACTGCACCCTTTCAATGGTGGGAAACCCGGAGAACCAGACAAACAGGGTAGCTCTGTGGATTCCTAGCTCGTGCAATGTTCCCTGTGTGTATTTTAACATGACAACTAGTGTTACAAATATTAACACTGTTAATAAGAGCAGAGACAGTAAACACAGCTCATGTTTTATATGTCCACAATGTTTCCAGAATCGGCCGGGAAAAATGCAGATAAAGAGGAGGACCTGACTCTTACTGAGAGGATTGAGAAGAAGAGGTGTGAAATACTCAAAAGGTGGGATGAAATCCAAGCTCTGGAAAAAGAAATCAAGGGCACGTTGGTCCACTCGAGAATTTCTGAGCTTACTGAGAGCAGCCTGAGAAGCACAGAGGTGAGTGGGGTGTGATGACCCGCGGGGGGGGGGGGGGGGTCCTCTGGACTCCGGAGCCTGCAGAGTTCATTTCGTTAGCGTGTCTGGGGTTAGAGATACATTATATGATGCGGTATAAAAGAATGAAGCAATTTTATTTTGAAACAGAAAAAAACATTAAATAAAAAAATTTAAATGCAGTCCCACTATATTTAGTTCTCAATAAGTCTGTGACAAATAATTAGAATTAGGTTAGAATTAAATTAGAGAGGTCTAGCCAACCCTTGAAAAAAATGAAGATGATTTTTTAAAAGTTCTGTAGAATTCGATTCAAATGTTTAGTCTCAATCTCTTTCAGGGCCAATGCTCAAATTGGATATCTCTCAGCTCAATCCATGTCACTTAAAAGTTAATGTTTTTGAACATAAATGTTTGCAATAAAAAATAATGGCTTCCATCATGAAGTACCTACTACATACCAAGCATGATATGTGCTAAGTAGTTGAAGGATGCTCAGAGAGTTTGAGGAAACTTCCCAAGATGACAGAGGCAGTAGGGAAGTGAAGACTGGGACTCCCGTCTAAGTTATGTTTGACCCCAGCTCCCTTTTCATTTCTACCACTGCCACATGGACCGTACTCGGCGTCTTGCTGAGCTGGGCATCTACCCTGGAAATGGGCATTAACTTCTGCCATTGGAAGAAGAGTTGACTGCATCACAAGTTGCTTTTAATTCAGTATTTTGTGGCTCATTTTCTGGATGAAGATTGTAAATGTAAATGATAATCTACAGTTTTGAAATGCTACATTTTGTCTGTCATCACTTGTTTCTTCTAAGTCCTGACCTCAGTTTTCTGTGTCCAAGTGCTCGCTATGGCATTTGTAAGCAATCAGCCTTTGTCCCCGTGCCCCCTGGCTGCATAAGAACTTTGATTCTTCTGAGAGTGCCCCTCATTGCCAACAACCACATCATGCTTTCTGGTTCTTTCCATGGAAAAAATAATTAGCAGATCTTCCTAACCAAGCCTCTTGCCTTTAAAACCATTTCTTTTTCAGAGCGAGATTTCAAAACTGGAGACATCAAATAGGATTTTAAAGAATAAAATAACTGTAAGTAGTTGTCACACTGTGTATAGCAGCAGCAACATTTCCCCTCGCACCTGCTGGCTCGGTGCCAGGGAACAGAGAAGACCACACACGTGCTCCATTTCTGTGGCAGTCTTCTGTAATGCGGGACTATGTCACTACGCACACAGTACTTGCACTGCCCATGTTTAAGAAAACAAATAAATAAAAATGGATGTACACTCTTCAGGATCGCTTAATAGATATGTCAAACAGAAGTGACCAGGTCCCTAAATTCTCCACATTACGATGAACTATGTTGTCATGGTGTAGTGGGTGACAAAGAATGTAATGAACTGACCGGTTCCTCTAGCAATTTCTAGGATACCCCTTGGGTACACACTGCCAGGTGTTGTTCAACACATTGTAATTCTGCTTCCATCCATGTGTACATCTGGTTGTACTATTGTTGTTGTCAGGTGCCATTGAGTCAGTTTCAACCTGTCGAGACCTGATGCACAGCAGAATGAGTCACTACCGGGTCCTGCCCCATCCTCACAGTTGTTCTTAGGCTCAACCTCATTGATGCAGCCACTGTGTCAATCCATCTCATCAACGGCCTCTCTCTTTTTCGCTGCCCCTCCACTTTATCAAACATGATGTCCTTCTCCAGGGACTGGTCTCTCCTGACAATATGCTCAAAATATGTAAGACAAAGTCGTGCCATCCTTGCTTTTAAGGAGAGCACTCTGGCCATCATTTTTCTCAGTCAGATCGGTTTGTCCCTTTAGTGGTCCGCAGAGCTTTCAATGTTCTTCTCCAGCACCATCGTTCAAATGCACTGATCCTTCTTCGGTCTTCATTATTCAGTGTCCAACTTTCACCTGCATAGGAGGCAATAGAGAATACCAGGGTCTGACCCAAGTGGACTGGCCAAGCTAGCTACTGTAGGTAGAATGATTCTGTGTGCATTGTCCGAGTCTTATTCGTGAACACTTTATCATTTTTGTTGGTAGGCTGTTGAAGTCCAAGTGAAGGAGACCATGGAGAAGAGTAAGTTGAATGAGAAGACACAGCGGTAAGTATGGATACCATTGTCTGATGACTCGAAATGTGAACTCCCACCTAACTGACAGTGAAAAAATCATTACAATAAACACACACACACACACACACACACACACACACACACCAAAAGAATCCAGACAAAACCAGGCTTATTCAAAGTGAGTCATATACAAGTAGGCAGTACCCCATTGCCTTCAAATCACAGAAGAGTAAAGGATTACCACATGCACACCTCATACAATTTTTTGTGGTTAACAATGCCTAGCCCAAGTTTGGAACTCAACATGGACGCATCATTTGGCGACATAGAAATCCATCTTTCAGAAAATGTAGGATGATTGAAACCTGGTAGCGTAGTGGTTACACCTGCTGAACACAAGGTGCCAGCAGTTTGAACTACCAGTCATTCCTCAGGAGAAAGATGGGCTTTCTCTTCCTATAAAAGTTACAGTCTCAGAACCCCCCCGGGGCAGTTCCATGTTGTCCCATCGGGTCATTATGAGTTGGCACAGGTGCCCTGGCAGTGAATGTGGTTTGGCATTCCATGACCAAAACCCCACTCAGTAGGGTTTTGAATACCATAAGTGAACTGTCTCAGGCACCTGGAAGCCAGATGTTCAGACTCAGGGTTTCAACAGGGCTATGCTCCCTCTGTCTGAATAGTCAGCAGATGTTTCCCCATCTTTTCCAAATCCTGACAGCCCTGTGTGTGTCCTAGTACTCCTTGGCTTGATTGGGGAATTCACTTTTCATGACTGGAGTCCCTCGTGCCAGGGCCCAGTGGCTAAGCATTAGGATGGAAAGCGAAAAGTTGGCAGTTCATTAGCTGCTTTATGGGAGGGGCTGTGGCAGTCTGCTTCCCGAAATGTGTTATAGCCTTGGAAGCCCAGTGGAACAAATCTACTGTCCTGGAGGGTGGCCAGGGGCAGGGGTAGACTGGGTGGCTCTGGGCTTGGGTTGGGTTTGGTCTCTTTGTGACTCATCCCTAGGATGTTAGTCATATATGATTAGGAGCCCTGGTGGCAAGTGGTTACCTGTTGGGCTGCCAATCTCCAGGTCAGCAGTTTGAAACCAGCAGCCACATCTAGAGAGAAGGATGATACTTTCTACTTCCATAAAGAGTTACAGACTCAGGAACTCACAGGGACAGTTCTATCCTGTCCTAAAGGGTCTATTTGATGGCTACGAGTTTTGAGTCATGAATGATTAGGGGCCACCCTATCATGGTATGGTTTATAATAACTTCAAAGAAACACCTCAGTTTGTCAAACAAGGTCATATTCACAAATACAGGGGTTACGATTCCAACATGTTTGTATGGGGGAACCCAACTTAATAACAGGCACTGTCAGTGAAAGGGCTTTTAGGTGTTGGGGGCCTGTCTGTAACAGAAATACCACAGGTCGACAGCACGAACAAACAGACATGCATTCTCATAGTTTAGGGGGCTACAGGTCTAAATCCTCACCACATGTCTCTCAAATGGTCGTGCTGTGTTGGTGGGTGTGTTGCTGTGATGCTGGAAGCAATGCCACTGGTATTTCAAATACCATCAGTGTCACTCAAAGGGAGCAGATTTCAGCAGCATTTCCAGACCAAGAGCAGACTTCCAATGAAGAGCTGGCTGCCTGCTTCTGAGGAATTAGCCACTGAGCACCGTGTGACTTGCGGCAGAGCCCGTCAGATACTGAAAACCTCACGAGCAACGACAGCTTGTTGTTAGATGCCGTGTAAGGAGGTGAGGGCCGCAGGTCAGAAAGCACCCTGACTTTGATGGAAGAAGAGCAGCCTCTCAAGGGAGGCCCGACCATAATGACGTGGAGGCATGGAAGCTCCGGGCCTTGCCTTCAGTTTCCAATGAGGCATGACTCCAAATGAGAAGAACAGCTGTAAACATCTATTAATAATTAGAACTCGGAATGTATGAAGTGTGAATCTAGGATTTTTTTGGGGGGTGTCAAAACGAATGGAATGCATAAAATCGAGGCTCTAGGCCATTGTTGGTAGGTGCCATCGGGTTGGTTCAACCCATAGAGACCGTGCACACACAGAAGGAGACACCATACAGCCTTGCACCGTCCTTACTACGGCACTCAGCCGTAGGGATCGGAAATGGACAGACATTAGCCATTTTGAATCCCGTGGTCACAGGGCTCACTGCTGGGAAGGACAAGTTCAAGTGGAATGCCAACATACTCATTGTCAAAAAGGGCTTTTTAAGATCGATCTTGAAGGGCAGACCTGTCCATGACAGAAAAACACGTGAACACACAAGGAAATCCAGACAACACAAAAATGATTCAAATGGACACATTAGCCACTAAAGCTAGTGAGGAAGAAATGATGACCACTTCTCCAGTCTGGAACTGATCAAACATGCAATCAGGATGCATTGATCATGATTGGGAAATGGAATGCAAATTTGGAAACAAAGAGGAAGGAACAGTAGTTCTAAAATATGGCCTTAGTGATAGAAACTAATTTGGAGATCACATGGTGGAATCTTGCAAGATTTCCCTAGACCTGCTGCCTTAAATCTGAACTTCCTTGCTTCCAGAGATGTAAAAAAATAAATCTCAGTTCTGTAAAGTCACCCACTTGTGACATTACAGTTACTGCAGCAACCAGGACAGGCTGTTCTTTCAGTGGAGCCCTTTGTTACCCTCCATTCTTAATATTTTTAGGTGTGAAAGTATACTTATGGGGACACACCCATCTTTGCTACATTGAAAGCAAATCTCTATATATGTGTATATAATGTGTGTGTGTGTAGATATATAATGGACCCTTTAAAACAGAAGTAGAACGCTGCAAAGTCTTGTCTGCTTTTGGATATCTTATCTGTGTCTAAGATTTATTTTGACATTTGGGATGCTTTACTAATCTACTCTGTGTGTTATGCATTTTTAGGGACCTTTGGGAGTTTATTCACACATTTGTAAAATTAGAAGAAACACAGAATAACTCTCAAGAAACTGAAGAAACAACCCCAGAAATTTCCAGCCCCCCGAGTACATAGCATGGATGATCGCAGATGTGTACATGAGCGAAGATGCATTTCATTTTGTTCTGTTTGATTCCTGATGATGTGCATGTGCTGTGGAATCTTGTTCAAGAGACTGCAATAAACACATGGAATCATGAGAGTCATTTAGTTTTGTGTCTGTGTCCGTCCCACGACAAGGGGCTCAGAGTATTTTCTGCTTTCAAGAAATAAATAACTTTCTCCTGGGAAAAAGATGTTTTCTGTGTTATGAGGGAAATAGGGGTTTGGGCACCGCTACAATATAGAACCAACCACTCTGGTGGCAAAAATGACTTGCACGTGACTATTAAGCTAAGAGGACCAGTGGTTGCGTGCTGGGGTGGTCACTGAAAGGCCTACAGCTCAAATCCACCAGCTGCTCCCAGGAACAGAGGAAGGACTACCTCCATACGGACTGACAGGCTCAGAAAGCGTGTGGAGCAGATCTACTCCCCGCTGCAGGGTAGTTAGGGAGTCAGACCACTCAACCTTGGTGGACAACCAAATGTAGGACTGCTGGGAAGCAAGAGGATCTACTTGATCAACAGCTAGGAGGGATTTCAATCTCACTTGGGATCTCAGGTTTCAGGGTGCTGAGCCAGAGACCACTGTCAGGCTGTCTGGAGCAGGAGGACAGGGTCAGAGAGGTGAGCTTCAGGGCTTTCTTCAAGGTGTGATCGCTCTTCCCAGGATTGGAGTCTCGGCCAGTTCTTAGAGCTAGGAGGCTGACGGCTACTGAAACAGTTCATGGTATCCGGGTCGGTTGGACTTGATAACTGTTCTGGAGTGCTCTATGCATGAGGGACTTTCTCTGGATTGCTGATGTCCACAAAGATGTTGTTCTTATGAGGGGCCATGCAGTCCCTTTGACTCATAGGGACCACGTGCCTCATGGAATGAAACCCCGGCTGGCCCTCTGTCATTGTCACCATCATTACTGGGTTTGAGGTCCTTCTTGCAACTACAGTGTCGATTCATCTTGTTGAGGGTCTTCTTCTTTTTTGGAGACCCCTCTACTTTACCAGGCATGATGTCCATCTCAAAGAACTGGACCCTCTTGATAACATGTCCGAAGTGTAGGAGATGAGATCTTGCCATCTTTGTTTCTAAGGAGCACTCTGACCGGACTGAACGAGACGTCATCCTCTAGCATCCAGAGAAGAACTCTGGGATGGGGTTGAACACTTAAACCGTAGCATTAGGATCTCAGGTCATATTTGGCTAAAGCAATTCCTCATCTGTGATGATGACATTATTCATATTGTTCCTATACTTCATTAGGAGAGAAAGAGGTAAGTGAATTTATACACTATCCCAGAGGGACCCAGAGACACCTGGCATTAAGACCAAACAAAGCTACATTTGTCAAATGAGGGAGAATAACTTTAGTCAAATACCATTGTCTTTTGAGAAGTAGTTCTATGAACTAGATTAATTTGAATTTATAGTTAATGAACTTATTTTCAAGAAGGTCCTCATCTTTAAAATCTTGGATATAGATTTTATCTGAACAAAGATGTAGTCTCATCATCTAATTAGCTCTTCAGTCCATCCATAAATTAAAAAGTCCTAAGAGAGAGCTTGTTTTTACAACTGTAAGCTGCAAAACTTACCTCTGCCTTTCTTTACTGCTTCTGCAGAGACCTGACCTAAAGTCATTACTTTTTCTTTACCATCAGTAATTTCTCAACTTTGGCCCCTTGACACAAGCTTTTAATGAGTGCATTTAGATACGTGTTTTGATTCACATTTTGTGGTAGTTACACAATCTGTTGTCAATTTGAGACTATTAAGAGTGAAGGGGTTGAGGTTAGCCTGTCAACCAGATGATAGCTTGATGACCTCATTTGGAGATGTGAAGGAGATAAATAGCTCACTGGGGGTGGGACACACATACTCTCTACTTTGTCTTCCTGTGGACAAGACACATGGAGTGACGCTAATTCCCTGGAACTGGAGGAGCCATGTGGAGACCCCTGCCATCCCTGAGATCCTTCCACTGCCACTGGATCCATAAGAGTTTCCACCCACTGGCCTGTGATCATCCTGCATTCGACATCATTGCATGTGCTGTGTGAGTCTGCAGAAGAATTTATGGACTATTAGCAGACATATGGGCTAATATTGGACTTATTGGCTAATATCAAACTGATGGACTTAATCTGAACCGGGCTGGGATGTTTCCTCAATATACAATTGCCCTTTGACATAAAGTTTTCTCTTACACGCATATGAGTCTCCCTGGATTTGTTTCTCTAGTCTATCCAGACTAACACACCTTCCAATATCTCTTAATTGCTTGGATTGAATTCATTTAAAAGGTGTACTCAAGAACTAGTCTGTCATTTCTTTCCCCCATGCTTTCTTCTTGAAAAAATGCAACAGGAAATTTGGATTCCAAGGTCAATTTCTAAATTCAGGGACCTGAAGATTTGTTTTCTTGTCAGGGATTTTGGGAGTCAAGGACTCTGAATGACTCTCTTATCTTCCAATTAAGCAAGAACGTCACAGGCTGGGCAGAACCATCAGGTGAAAGAACCCCACTTGGGGATGGGGACCAGAAGAGAAGGAACAGAATATTATGGAGAGGTGGAGATTGGGAGGGGAGTAAACAGGACCACGTATATGGAGGGCTTGAAAGGGTACTGTGGTAGTTGCATAATCTGTTGTCCACTTGACACTTAAGAGTGAAGGGGTGAAGGTTAGCCTGTCAATCAGGTTCAGCTTGATGACCTCATTTGGAGGTGCTAAGGAGATAAATAACTTGCTGTAGGCGAGACATAGAGATAGCCCCTGTGAGACATTCCTGTGGAGAAGACACATGGAGCTACATTAAAGCCCTGGAGTTGAAGCAGCCAGGTGGAGACCCCTGCCAGTGCAAAGATGTTTCCACTGCCACTGGATCCACAATGCTTTCCACCCACTGGCCTGTGATCTTCCTGCATTCGGCATCATTGCATGTGTTGCATGAATCTGAAGAAGAATTTATAGAGTGGTATCGGACATATGAGCTAATATCAGACTTATGGACTTGATCTGAACTGGGCTGGGATGTTTTCTCAATATTCAATTGCTCTTGTAGATAAAGCTCTTTGTTATTCACATGAGTATCTAAGAATTTGTTTCTCTAGTCAACCTGGACTAACACAGATAGTATTCCTGACTTCATTGATGAGATAGGCTGAGCAACTACACAGAATATGTCTTTCTTTAAAAACCAAATCAATACGTAAATTAAGTTCAAGTAAAAATTTTAAAAGACCCAAGGTTCACAGGCCTCAACCCACCCTCACAGACGTCTTACCGCTCAGATCTGAGTGGCTATACAAGGAGGAAGAGTAAAACGGAAGTGGACTTTAGTTCTTTAGTGACACAAAATTTCATTTCCAACAAATGGAAAAAAAATAATAACAATAAATACTCCTCATCTCTGTGTGAATCCTCTCTCCTTCAAGCTTCTGGGACATGGCTCCGTTTGGGCACGGAGGATGGCTGTTGGTGGGGAGAAAGTGGGGTGGGAAGAGATACAGGGCGGGAGGTGAGAGCGAAAGCCAGATGAGGGACACACCCGTATCAGTCATCCCTCCTGACCCGGTGTACCCTGGCGTACTGGTCTTGGCAAACATCTGTGGCCCGTAAGCAGCGTCTATGCGTGTTTCTTGCTTCGTCAAAGCCTTGGGGTGATTGATATACAACTGCGTTTCCACTCACGAGTAATGTCTTAAAATTTTGTAGCTATTCAATGCTTACCCTGAGAGGAGAGAAAGAGCCCTACTCTCCCCAGAGGGCCAGAAAGGATACTTGTTGGGTGAAGGTCACTGCCATGGAGTTGATTCCGGTTCATGGCCATCCCAAAGCACAGGGCAGAGCTACCACTGTGGGCTGGTGAGACTGCCACCCTTCACATGAAGTAGAAAGCCTCCTCTCAGTCCCTCAGAGCAGCTAGTGGTTTTGAACTCTGTCCTTGAGCCTAACAGCCCAACTCGTAACAACTACCCCACCAGGGCTCCTTGTTGGGTAGAGGGGTGTCCTAGAAGACTGTCTCAAGGACTCATTGGCTAGTCTACTCACTCATTGCCTCTCGTTAAGCAGCAGCACCCTCTGGGTCTCAGAGTCTAAGCTTCGGCACTCGGGTCCCAAGACCGTGATCATAAAACCTGCATGATGCAAAGTCCAAGTCTCTGGTTACACTGCCTTCCTGCCTCTTCCGAGTCTGCGCTTCACCAAGCACACGCCACCCTCGATTCTCATTCTCCCCTACATCTTCTACTCTGACCTATGAGCATACTCAAGCTTTTCCGTCTTAAAAACCAATGTCCAAAAAGGGACATGTGGGTAGGGAATTAAGCCTCCCTTGCCTGGATTCTTCTACTGTGGTCTTCCAGCATCCATGACCCAGTCTGCATTTCTAGAAGAATCTTTGGTTTCAAAAAAGTTTCTAATCTTGATTGTTTCACAAACTCCCACCCCCTTTCCATCCCAGGCATTGCATCACAGCACACCTGATCTTCTCTTAGGTTCAAAGGCGAATCCCACATGAGGCTAAGTTGGTGACTCTCAATTTTACCTGCTCATTAAACTCACTTGAGGGGTATTTTGGAAACGGATGACTGGTTGAGCCTCAATCTAGGCCAAACAGATCATGCGATTGGCAGTGTGACTTGGATGATCAGATTTGTCCCGAGCCTCCAGTTATGCTAAGGAACTATGCTGGTTGATGAAGGAGTCCTGGCGGGGTTGTGGTCATCACTTCAAACACATCAGCCACTCCTTGGGAGAAAGATGAGAACGTCTGATCCCATCCAGATCTGACATCTGGGAAACCCAGAGGGCCCATTCTAATCTGTCCTACAGGGTTGCTATGAGTCTGATTCAACCGGATTGCATTATAGATTTTTTAAAGTTTCTTTAAAAAGTCTAAAAAGTCACTAAAAGTGACTTCTCAGCTTACCAGTAGGTGGTCAGGAGCCCAAGTTCAAGGCAATGACTCAGAGTGATGGGAATAAGCCATGACACGACCC